GGAGAAAGGCTTATGGCAAGGTAGCCTGAGAACCTTGGTCTATCAGACCAAATGTCAACTTTGCCACACTCAGAGGATGGCCTTCCCTGTCAGCCTTCACTTGCCAGGCATGACAGCTCACCATGCTATCATGGGTAATTTTTTTTTTCTCTGTCACATTTTGATAACATTCCCTGATGCTTTCATTCAAAAGAAAAAGAGCTCTGGGAACTTCCTGTGTGTGACAGATCAACTGGACAAAATGCTGGTATCGGCAGGCCCTCCTAGGGATGTATCCAATTACGCCACCAAAATATTTGCTTTTGGTATTTAAAATAAAAGCCACCCTGAGTCTAGTGCTTTCTTTTGGACCAAAGAGCACCTTGCTTGACTGTTTCTGCCAATACAACATCACCACAGGATCTTAATGAATGGTAGCTAGAGAGACTCAGAAGGAATTCCAGAAACAAAGGCCCTCAGGTATGAGACACACTCTTCTCCTAACACTCTCAAGGGGGTCAGGGTTAGGATGACTACCACGTGTCACTGCTTGCCTGGGACAGTGTCACATATCTCTGCTGTCCCTAAGTAATTATTAATAGCATCCTCTCTCTTTTTTTCTTTTAATTATCCTGGTTTGGTAATAAATTAGCTCTCTTAATCAGAAAGAAGTTTAACAAAGAAAAAGTTACAAAAAGTCATGGACTCTGAATTGTTAGGTGTGGAGTTCAGCCCGAAGACATATGAATTAAGCTGCAGCAGGCTGTAATGTGTCTTCAAGGTAGCGATGAGAGATGAGCAGCCCACATATCCTGATGCTGGCCTTCCCAGTGGCCTGGGGGCAGAGGATCATCCCTTTGTCATACTTCGGTGGCAATGAGCACACATTTCATAAGCCTGCTCCCTTGGCACTGTCCCCCTCCTAGAAGGGGCAGAACTACCCAGATTGTAATATGATTGCTTCTCCACCCTGCTGCCTTACTTCCTGTTAAGTCCTCGGTCACTGTACTTGTGACCGTCCTTTCCTTTCCCCCTGCCCACACCCTGTCTGCTTTAGCTCACACCTGGACACAGCCTAACCGGTCTTCCCACACCCATCCCCTTCTTTTCCTTCCTGACCCACCTTCCCCCTAGCACAGATGACTCAAAGCTGCCAACACGATGGCACCCCACCCCTGATAGCCAAGGCCTTGGCTGGCTTTCTGTTCTGCAAAGACAGAAGCCAAAAGTGCTTAGCTCTGGCCCTGCCTGCTCAATTAGGCCCCAGTCTCTCTGAATGCCATGTCCCCAGTGACCCTCCTAGCAGCCAGCATCCCCACCTTGAGGCAGTGCTTATAGTGGCTCTAGTCTGGCAGCCTAGACTCCCGAGCCTGTCTGAATACCTCAGTGTAATTACTGCATGCAGCTATTTATGTCTGACTCGCCAGCTAATAGCCACCCAAATTACCAAGGCTGTACTATACTACAGCAACCACACTGGCTGAGAGAGTTGACTCTCCCTGGCTCCTCCTTAAGAATGAAAAGCATTTTCCCCTCACCCCTCTTTCTGGGGAGAAGGGAGAAGGCAGCCTGGCCTTCAAGTCCAGAAGGCTTGGCTACCAGTGAAGCTGAGAGAGTTAGCAGCCTGCCCATGTGTCCTCTGCAAAGAAGCCAATCCATAGAATAGACTCCCTTTGTTTTGAGAGGTTGAAAACTGACATAGCTCAGACCAGCTTTGATTTGTTTTATAGAGCATTTTACATGAAATGTAAATATTAGTTGCAATTTTCAAAATACGGAAGATCTCCCTACAAAAATCTAAATTTTGACGTTGTGATGGATAATCTTGGTCATTAACTTGAATCAGCTATCATCCAAACTTCCAGGCACTCCAGTGAGGGGTTCTTTCAATCAAATTATTAGAAGCATGAAGACCCCCCCTAAATCTGAGCCATACCTTCTGGTGGCAGCCCACATGAAAGGACACGGAAGAAAGAAGCTTTGCTGTCTGCCTGCTTGCCCTCACTCCACTGGCATCTGTCCTGTCTCTGAGGTGGTCCTTCACTGATATTGGAACCAACTTCTTTTGGATTCCAAAGTACACTAAAGAGCAGCTCTCCAGGGATCCTCCAGGACTCCAGCACCAGAGCTAGACTGCTGAGACAGTCAGAGTCTTGGCCAGAACAGTCACTGATTCTCAGCCTTACCAATATGAGACAGCTGTTGTTGAACTTGGACCATAGCCTATGAACCAATCTAATAAATCCTGATGCATATTTTTTCCATTCTATCAACTCTATTACTTTAGAGATCCATGACTAATAGGGATATTCCCTAGAAAAACTCTTGCCAGGCATATTGGTGCATACCTTTAATATTAGCCCTAGGAGGCAGAGGCAAGCAGATTTCCGTGAGACCAGGCTAGTCTCGAACTCACAGAGATCTGCCTGCCTCTGCCTCCTAGTGCTAGGATTAAAAGGCCTGTGCCACCACTGCCTAGCTAATTACAATTTTTCAAATGTTTAAAAAACAGCTACACTGAGATTCCATCTCACCTCAGTCAGAATGGCACTCATTGGGGTGGGTGGGGCACAGTAGCCAGCATGGTGGTATCCTTCTGTAATTCCAGCGCTGGGGAGACCTAGGCTGGAGGACTGCTCTGCAGGCAGCCAGTATGAGACCTGCTCTTAAAATAAACAAATAATAGAGAGGGGCAGGCAGAGAGAGAGAGAGAAGAAGGCTAGCAATTGTGTAGAGAAAGAGGAACATTCATGAACTACTGATGGGAATGTAAACTGGTGCTGCCACTATGGAAAACAATATGAGGCTCCTCAAAAACACTAAAAAGGTTCTTAAAAAAAAAAAAAAAAAAAAACTAAAAAGGGAACAGTATATGATGACCCAGTTTCACTTCTGGGCATATTCCCTCCAAAATCAAAAGCAGCATACCTCAAAGATACCTGCATACCTGTGTTTATTGTACTATCCAAAATATTCAAAATACATATAGAAGATGCACTATGTACACAATGGGGTTTCATCCAGAAAGAAGAATGAAATGATGTCACTTGCAGGAAAAGCAATGGAACTGGATGTCATCGTGTTAAGCAAAATAAGCCGGACTCAGGAAGATAAGTGTATTTTCTCTCATATGTGGAATCTAGATTTTATACCCTTAAATATGTGAAAGTAGATGGGGACTGCGATGGTTGCAATGGGATGTGCATGGTAGTCTCAGGCATTTGAATGTGTAGTCTGAACTTGGTGATGCAGTTTGGGGAGGCTTAGGAGGTGTGGCCTTGTTGGAGGAGGCATGTCACTGGAGGTGCCTCAGCTCTGAGAGTTTAAAGGCTAATGGTATTCCCAGTTGACTCTCTCTGCTTCCTGCTTGCAGTTCAAGATGTGAACCCTCCAGCTTCCTGCTGTTTCTGCCCTGCTGTCACCCTCTGAACAATAAGCCCAAATACTCTTGTTTCTATAAGTTGCCTTGGTCATATGCTTTATCAGAGCAACAGGAGAATGTGTGAGGAGAAGTCTAAAGTGAAGGAGGAGGTGGGCAGGAGGATAATAGGAAGGAAAAAGAAAAGTATGCATGTTCTCATATGTAAAACCTAGACAATATATGTGACATATGAAAGCAGGGAGTGGACTGTCTTCAGGAGGAAGGGACCATCCAGCAATTATGTATGCAAATGTCATAAGCAAACCCACTGGACCAGTCTGGGCTACAGGATGAATTCAGAACCAACCCGGACAATAGAAAGCCTCTCTTTAAAAAATAAATAAATAAACAAATAAAAGGAGAGGTCAGCCAGATGGCTCTGTGGGTAAAGATGCTTGATATCAAGCTGATGACTTGAGTTCAATCCCTGGGACCCACATGGTATGAGGAGAAAACAGACTCTTACAAGTTTTGCTTTGACCTCCACATGCTCATACATGCTCATTCCCTCTGCCCCACAACATGCAAAACAAACACTTAAAAATGTAATTTAAAATGTTTTAAATGTAAAGGGTATAGCTCAATGGTAGAACAGTCGCCTAGCATGAGTGAGGACCTGTGTTCAATCCCCAGTACAGTACAATGCAAAGAAAAGGGCCTGTTACTTTGTCTTTTTTTTTTTTTTTTTTTTTTGGTTTTTCGAGACAGGGTTTCTCTGTGTAGCTTTGGAGCCTATCCTGCCACTTGCTCTGAGACCAGGCTGGCCTCAGATTCACACAGATCCGCCTGACTCTGCTTCCTGAGTGCTGGGATTAAAAGGGTGCGCCACCAACGCCCGGCTACTTTGTCTTTTTTCACACACACACACACGCACACGCACACGCACACGCACACGCACACGCAGGATTTAACTTGCTCTCTTGACCTCTTTGGCATCACTATGAAAACACATTCAGGCTTGCCCCTTGGTTTAGATTAGGATAGCAGACACATGCATCAAACCGAGTCACCCTGCCTAAACCCAGCCTTGTCAAGCCAACCCAGACAACCTTTAGATACAAGAGAATAAAGTGTTATGAGCTCTACAGCAGGTACCACATGCAGTGGCTATTTTTTCCCTGGTTGGTTGGTTGGTTGGTTGTTTGGTTGGTTGGTTAAGGGTGTGTGTGTGTGTGTGTGTGTGTGTGTGTGTGTGTGTGTTTGATCAATACAGAAGAAGGTACCTCCTATAGTAGAAAAATATTTTCTCCAATGATAAAACATGTACAAACTTTTCCTTTTCAATAAAGGTGCCTATGTGGTCACTATAGTTTATAATCTCAATTCCTCAATAGGAGACTAGCAAGTCATATTTTTTTAAAGGAAATTAGGACAGGTAATACTGTTTTTGTTTTGATTTTTGAGAGATCTTACTGTGGACCAGACTAGCCTTGAACTCACAGATTAGAAGCACACACCTCCACACCCAACTAGTACAGATGATATTGTACAGTCTTTTCAGAAAATATAATCATCTTAGCTATCTTCTGTCTCCTCTGTGAAGAGGCACCATAACCAAGACAGCTTATAAAGTAAAGCATTTAATTTGGAGTTTGCTTACAGTTTTTGAAGGCTGGTCTATTACCATCTTGGTAAGGAGCATGGAGGCAGACAGGCAGGCAGGCAGGCAGACATGGTGTTGGAGAAGTAGCTGAGAGCTCACATCTGCTCTGCAAGTTACAAGAAGAAAGAGAGAGTGACTGAGCCTGGTGTGGGTTTTTGAAACCCCAAAGCCCACCCCCAGTGGCATACCTCCTCCAACAAGGACATGCCTCCTAATCCTTCCCAAATAGTTCTACTAATTGGGGACTAAGCATTCTAACATGGAGGCCTATGGAGGCCATTCTCACTTAAACCTCCACAATAATGTACTATATAAAACTCTCAGGACATTAGTTTTGTTAGTATTATACCTATTTGTTATCTATTTTCATTCAAGACCTTAAAATTATTATGTTTGTTATATGTGTGTCTTTGTGAGGGCATATGCACACGAGTGTTGGTACCCATAGAAACTAGAAGAGAGTGAGTGTAAGATCCCTTGGAACTAGAATAATAGAGCTACCTAAGCTAGGTGCTAGGGACCACACTCGGGTCCTCTACAAAAACAATGTGTGCTCTTAACCGCTGAACCACCTCTCTAGCCCACCAGCATTTTTTAGGATACCAGGTTCTTGCTAAGTTGGCCAGGCTCACCCTGAAATTCTAGACTCAAACAATCATGGATCTCAGAGTATCTTGAACTACAGTTGTGTGCTGATGTGCCCAACAAATACTAAGTACCTACTACCAGGAGACAGAGTAGTAAGCATCACCAACTCTTCATGTGAGAACCAAAGGAAGCTGCTGGATGTTTCTTCTCCTAAGAACCCAAGGAACTTGGGCCAGCAAGATAGTGTTGTGGCAAAGCGCTGGCTGAGCAAGCCCTACAACCTGAGCTCAATCCCCAGAACTCACATAAATTTAGCTAAGAAAAAGTACTGATTTCACAGTTGCCCTCTAACCTCCATACATGTGCAGTGCACAGAAGCACACACACATAGCATTCACACACACACACACACACACACACACACACACACACACAAAGAAAATAAAAAACAACCGTGCAGTAGTAACCAACCAGATGAGCTGTTGGGCTGTAGGGAAGTATCTAGTGAGTAGGCCAGCACAAGAGACCAGAAAGTAATTTGGACACTGGAAGTGTTTTTGCTTTCATTGCGGTTGTTATAATGGAGACTTTCTTAGCACCTTTGGTGGGTGCAGCATGAAAAGGCCAGTACTCTCAATGGACCTGGAGTCCAGTTCCATTTCATTCAAATATTTCTATAGCTTTAATGCTGGGTGTTATTCTTTTGTTTAAAAAGAAGAAAAGAGAAATATTGAGACAGACATATTGACTATAAGTTTATTATAAGGACCGGCAGAATGGGGAGACTAAGAGGAGGAACAGGGTAATGGCTGACTGCCATGGCCGGTCGTCATAGAGAGACAGAGCGGGGAAACAGAGAGAGGGGACAGAGAGCAGGAACAGGGGGAGAGAGAGAGAGAGAGGGCAGGGGCCTATCTTTTAAAGGGGTCCTCTGCACCTGCGTGCAGACTTCTTTCCCATGGAACCTTGGGCTGACCAGGGTATTGCCTGAGTGGATTCCACCAGGTAACAGGGGCAGGCCAGCATAATGCCTGAACCTTTTACTGGGCTTGTTTCAAAAAAACAAAAAGAACTGACCAGGCTTTGAACTCCAAGTGTAGTCCTGGTCACAAACTATCATTCAAACAGCATCCATCTCCCCTCAAAGTTCATTAAAATGTGGACTCTCAGGCAGTCACTCAACCCCTGAGCCAGAATCTGCATTGTTTACTGTACAGCTAGGGGATAGACTCATGGGATAGAGACCATGCTACCAAACCTGGTGACCCAAGTTCAACCCCCAGCATCCACACTTGGAAAGGAGAAAGATGATCCCTACAAGTTGCTCTGTGACCTCCACACATACGCACCATGGCATGTGTGCAAGCACTTATGCACACAACAATAATCATAATAAAATAAAAAGGTTCAGTTGTTTGCTGTAAAACAACAAAATTCACATTTTCCGTCTCTTCATTCTTCTTTCTTCCTTGTTATTTCTGTTTTGTCCCATGTGTGTACTGGGAATAGAACCCAGGGCCCCCACACAGGGTAGGGGAAGTCCTCCACCATTGAGTTATAACACCAGTCCTTTATAAATTTTTCCGACAGTTGTCCCAAGTTGACCTTAAATTTATGATATTGCTTCCTCAGCCTCCCGAGTTTCTAGAATGGTTGGCATGTGCCTCCATGCCCGACTGCAGGCTTCCTTCCATCTGTATAGGTTTGAGTGTTCCAAGTATGTTGGATAAGCAGAATCACAGTTTCTGGACTTACATGACTGGTTCATTCAGTTACCAATGTCCTCAGAGGCTCTTAACATTGCAACAAAGTCTGCCCTTTCTTTTTTCCTTTTTCCTTTCTTTCTTTTTTTCTTTTTCTTTTTTTGTTTGGCTTTTTGTTTGTTTTTCCATACTGGGAATTAAACCCAGAATTTTCTCTATGTCAGGCAAGTGCTCTACTACTGAGTTGCACCTCTAGGCCTCTTAAAGTTTTACTTTGAGACAGGATCTACCTAGGTTGCCCAGGAGAGCCATAAACTTAATTGTAGCCCAGCCAGCTGGCTTTAAACTTTCACACTACCTGTCCCAGCTTCCTGCTCCACCTACCTCAACTCCCCCAAAAGCTGGGATTATAGGCATGAACAAGCATGCCACAAGCAAATGCTGTACCCGGACAAGATCTTCCTTGTATGCTTCATATGAGTGTTTCCTGGGAACTGATGGGGGAGAAAAGGAAATCCAAGAGGTCAGTCTCAGCAGGAGCCCAGGCTTTGCCTGCTCCTCTGAAGTCCTCCATGTGGAATCACATCCCTGGAGTTAACACTTCAACATGAATGATGGATGGCCAAGCTGGCCTAAGAATGATGGGTTTGAAACCTGTAGGAAAGGCATTTAAAAATATAACCTGCAAGTCACTCAGAAACGCTGGCCAGTAGAGCCAATAGCTGAACTGCATAATCAGGGGCTCACTTAGGGCCACACCAATTCAGTAACACGAAGCTCATAGCACACTAGCCACCAGCCCATGTTATCAAATAGTAATACTTTTTAACCCTCAATAACTCTGGGAGTAGGGAATATTGGTGTCTCCGTTGTGTAGATGAAGAGGGCGAGGCACCAACGTATTCAGTAGCTTCCCCAGAGTTACACGACCTGTGAATGGCAGAGGGAAGGAAGACCCCAGGCTCTTCATTACTACAGTGTGTCTCCTTTCTTGGTGCTACTTAACCAAAGTTTCTGCTAAAATTAAACTAAAGGGAGCTATGTGGACTGTGTGTGGTAGAGGGAGGACCTACTTCTAACCTTGGCATTAGTGGTGTGTGTGTATCTCAGAATATGAGAAAATAAGTAGGAAGCCCCTCTGGTTTAGAGGACAGAAGAAAATGGGTTTGTTTTCTGTTATGTTCAGAAGTAAGATGAACTGGTTTCCCTGGGAGACTCTAGGCCACCTTCTCTTGTTTTGCAGGCTCCTCCCACCCACCCCAGCCTTCTCCAAAGCCTCCTCCCCCCTTCTTGAGTGTCAGATGTTCTCTGGCCTCAAGCAAGTAAGTCCCAAGGCATGCACTTGCTATATCTTTCTTCTGAGTTCCTGTTCATACTCCATCTTGGTAAAAATACCATCCCTTGAAGTCAAATTCCACATCTAGGAAGATGAGTCACAAGGGTTGAAATCCCAGAGCCCAGCTTGGAGCTCAAGGTCACTGCCAGATTGCTCCACAGTTTGACACATCCCAAGGTACCATTGTCTCACCACAAAACCCCATGCTCCAAGCCCAATGCAATTCCTAATGCCACACCATCTTTTCTGGGATTGGGAGCCACCCTTAGCTTCTCCGTTTCTTCAAGCCTCTGAGATTTGTAGGAACTCCTCCAGGAGTCTCAGATCTGTCTTCTGCTTTACTGGCTGTCATTGCCCGAGCCCATCTCCCCAGTCTCCAGTCTCCCAACCCCATTCCTATACACAGTGGCAAGCAGCATCTCCATACAGAACACAGGCCCACTTCCTGCCCTGTTCTGCTCCATCCACGTGTCTCAGATGGGTCTGCACAGATGCAGCGGAAACAAACTCCTTCCTTAAAATAACAGGAATCTCACACTCACAGGAAAGGTGCAGGGAACACCCAGAGTGCTTTGCTCCTTAACAAACTGAGAGCTGCAGACCTCACGGATGCCTGAAAGTTCCAGAATACATTTCCTTCTAAGGAGGACAAGCTTCTTTGTGCACAATATGGTCATTTTAAAAGTTAGCAAGTTAGCCTGGGTACATTACCACAACCACACGCTCCACTGGGTGCTGCCAGCTGCCCCATAACTTCATCTTAACAGTGACAGAACTGTTCTACAGCATGGATCCCACTAGTTTGTCTTCTCGTCACCTTCCTTCAGACTGGAACAGCCCTTCATCCTTTTACATGGATTTTTATGTCCTTGATGTTTTTGAAGACTAGAGTAGAATGCCACTCCATCATGGTGTGACTTGGTTTCCCTTGATGAGATTCAGGCAGGACTACTGTAGGTGTGGTGCTTGGTTCTGTTCATTGAAGCTTATTGTGTGGTTCATGTTGTCATTCTGCCCCCCCCCCAACCTGGATACCAGCCAGGCTCTTTCTCAATGACTCTTTTCCTCCTGTAAGCATTTGGAAAAACCCCTGAGCCCATGAAAATGTCCCATTTCTCATCACTTTTATTCAGAATGGACCAGGAGTCCCTCATCTGAGATGGTTAAATCTTGGTTGTCAATTTGGCTGAATCTGGAGTCACCTAAAGGATGAGTTGCTAGGCACACTTGTGAGGATTTTCTTGACCAGGTTCACCCCAAATGTGGCTGCACCATCCAGCTGGTGTGTGTGTGTGTGTGTGTGTGTGTGTGTGTGTGTGTGTGTGCATGTGTGTGTGATGGAATCTGTATATTCTAAGGGAAAGCTTTGCTTTTTTTCCTGCTTGCCTGAACCTCTTGCTGGTGAATTCATCTACCTGTTGGTGAATACATCCATGCTACTGCTGCTGGTGCCACTGCTGTGGCTGCGACATTTCTCCA